TTTCCTCATGATACATGCAAATTATCTCTTGGACATCGCAAATGGAATTTGGTTGCTTACAGACTGGTGTCTAGTGCCATTTTAGACAACCTCAAGTATCCCAGCTGGCTTCCCTTGGCTTGGGACCTCCTTACATTTTGCAGGACATCTGTCAGCCCTGTAAGAATATCTTCAGTGGCCTGCAATATCTAAACTGGCACTAGATATGAATGTTTAGGCACCTGAAAGCCTAAGCCATACTCCCTTTTGCTCTGGTCTACAAAGTATGAAATAAATTGGAGTATTAGCATTGTATATTAATTTTACACTGATGTAAAAATGACAAGATAAGTAGGAAACTGAAAACAAAAGTGGTCTTCTGCTGATTAATATTTTAATACAATAGTATCTTCAATGAAACATTAACTTTATGTTCACTGGTTTGCACAAACATTCTTATACCATACTCACAAAAAAAGATTTAATTTCTGTCAGCAGTACTGATTTAAGACTCAAGTTGGATATCTAAGGATTCTGCTATTGTCTACCTGCATTGTTGACTCCTTGCCTGAGACAAAGCTGTCAAACTGAAGAAATACTGTGTTAGCTCACTATGAAAAAGGGAAGAAAGGGAAAAGGATGGCAGATCAGAGGCAGGTAAGCACAGCGAGATAAAAACAGAACATCGTTCTTTATCTGGTGTACAAAATAAGGATTATCAATACCAGCAGCATAAGGAGGAAAAAATACGTTACATAGAATACTTATAATGCTATATTATTATGTAATATAGCTAATAATATACTTACTGTAAGACTCCATAGGAGCTAATAACACTAAGCCTCGGATGATCTTTTCATGACACTCTACTCAAAAGCTGGTCTCCAGCTTTCCTAAAGATCTGACAGGTTCCTACAAAGAACAGATGGATGCAAACAGACTGGGCAGCACAAAGGACAGACCTAGTGCCAGTAAACTACCACAGTGGTAGAAACATATTGATAACCTGAATTCTCACCACGTTTTGCAGATGTAACAGTGTAGGAGAGTTTTAAGGATGGATCAAAGAACAGTGCTTTCAGCATATTTATGTTGATACCATTCTAAGTGTGCAAGTGATGAGAATAAAAAAAAACCCAAACATATGTGCTTATATGAGAATTAAATTAAAGTATGTTGTAGTCTGGCAGCATGGGCCAAGCAAACTCAGGAATTAGTATCTCATTAATGATAAAACATACCAGACAGGATTAAGAAAAATCATGAAGGGTTCTGAAGTGGAAACTTCCAGCTAACAATTTCTATAGCTTGTATCAGATGCAATAAAAAAGGGCAATTTAGAAAAAGGCGACAAACTAAATGAAGCAACACTCGAGGAAAGCAGACTTACAGCAGTGATAGAACAGACCTGAGGCTCTTACTCCTACAAAGTACCTTCCTTTGCAGAATGCTAACCTGGATGGACAAACTGATCCAATTTAGCAGATTCAATTTATCCCACCTCTCAATTCAAACTTGCAAGTTCCAACTCTTGCTGCAGCATTCTTTCATACCATTCAAGTAATCCAAAATAGAGATCTTTGTTCTAATGTTTGCTCTCTGATTTACCTTCATACAAAAGCGTTCTGCATAAGCAAGTAATTGAGTGAGATGAAAAGAATTCTAAAGACAAGCACTGCAGAAGTGCTGGCAGCTCAGACTCCACCTTGAACAAAGACTTCAGTTCTACCGCAAAACACTAGAAGGAATTAAAGAAAGATCAACAAAACTGTGAAGAAGGAATGTATTTTACATATGCTGGAATAAAACTTTGATAACTAATGACAGTTGTAGCGCATAGTTATCTACAAATACACAGCAAATCTACGTACAAATGAAAAGAAATTATCAGAATAGTAAAAAGGCTATAACCAAAAGAAATGTCATTACAAGAAAGGAAAATGTAACAGCACGTTTAAGCAGTGAGCTCTATTGGAATGTGGAAAAACTTCCCAGGGAAAGCCCCAGTCCCTAAAAAATTTGAAATCAGACTGAAAAGCTGATTGGAGACAATATACAAAAATAAACTGGAGCCATAAAACTGCTGAAATAATAAAAACATTATATGAATTATCCAATTATTTTATATGTATAATTTACATGAAAGTTATACTGAGATATGTGAGCTGCTGTACACTTCACACAAAGCACAGGTGTTTTGGTAAGAAATAAAAGTACACCTGTGTTCTTAACCACAAACGAAAACATTCTTCTACACCTTTTTAGCTTGGAACTTTGTGCAGTAATGATGATTCCACCAGGCATATATGTAGGTGGCAAACTATGGAGGAAATTATACTGATTTAAAGAAAAAAGTAGGTGGTCTGTCATCATAATGCACTTGCCTGCCCCATCTCCCATTGCCATATAAATGATATTAAAAATAAAAGAAAATACCATTTTTAGGTTATTTTAAAGACTCCTGTGAAACTATTGGGCAGGATATTTGGAGCAGAAAAGGACATCAAATTGTTTAACTTCAGCTTTCAACACTCAGTTCTTTGATCACAATCGTTGTCTTAAAAGTTTTCCATGGAAAACATGCTATAGACAGTTTGATGTATGTTTTACTCCTACATTTTTTATATGAAGTTACTCTCATTGAACTACACACCAACTTCTGAGGTAAAATAAAGAACATGAATAAAAAGCTCAGATCAGTTATTTTAATGCAAACTAAATTAAGAATAGCATTTGATCTGTTTGTTTCAAAATTTATACAGTGCCTTCAGAATTAACTATCTTTCTGTCAAATATTGTTACCCTACCTCAGCTCATGAAAGGATCTCTGAAATATATTTTCCATTTGACCTAGATCTCAGTTGCTCTTTTATGTTCTCACTTCCTATACATACTATTCTACTGCATAAACTAGGCATCCCTACATTACCATTGTATCCATACCCTCTTAGAACACCAGTAGGTATCAAGAAACTATACGATAAAAACAATGTTACTGTTAATATACAATGTTATTTATGCATCTTTTACTTAGGTGAGAAGCTTAAGAGTTACTTAATCTATCATTTTTAATTTCCTTTTTCCCCAGTGATCTTTATATTCCTTCACATCCCACGTTTCTTCACAAGCCTCCTGGCAACATCCCCCAGGCAAAGGCTTCCTGGAGCAAATTCTCAAGTGGAGCAATGACATCTTTACATCAGCTGAGGATCTTTTTATTACATACACATTACTGATCAAATGCAGTGTTGGCCTGTCTGCAGTGTCACTCTCTGCTCAGAAAAGCTGCAACTCTTCCTCCAAAATAAAACAATCATGCCAAAAGATCCTTAAATCAAAACAATTATATTCATCAACAGAATGCAAAATTTTCAGCATTAATGGATAGCCACCAGCTGCAGTTGCACAAATTATAAAATGTATAGTCACCATGTTTAGATGTTCCAATAAATATAGTTCCTCTCTGCTGCCATCTACAGATAGATTTCAAATTTTTAAAAAATCTACTTTTCACTTCCAGATATGTATTTAATAATAGGATCTCAACATGCCCTACAAACCAGCTCACCCCAAACACATATTATGTCAACAGTATTACCTCAACTTATTAGAAGCTTCAGGCAAAGCTGAGCCCAAGTGATAAGTCATTGAAAAGTATTTAGACGTTGCCACGCTGCATGCTGAGTGATGCCTGATCCTGTGCGAAATCCTCAGCTGGGAATTAGGTGCTTATGTTCCCTATTCAACGCATAGGAACAGTTAAGGCGTACACAGATGCCCCTCAGAAGCCAGATGAGCTGCCAAAAGTGAAAAGGAGATTCAAAATGTCTAGTACAGGTTCTTAAACACCTTTGCTTAAATCCCCAGAATACCTAATGTTTAATGATTGTAGCATTGTTATTTGATGCCTGCTTCAGGCACCACACTTCCAGTTTCACAGCTGTATGTTCTAACCAGGAGGCTACGAAGTCAGTTTCCCTCTCTGCATAAAAATGAAACTCAGTAGACCAAAGTGGTACATTTTTAAAAGACTCAGACACTCAGATGCACAGTGGAGACAGCATAACTCGGTAAGAGTGCTGATCTGTATTAAATGACTGCTTGCCTGTTAAGTATAAAATATTGTGCTTGCTTAGGGCCCAAAGCGAACATATCATTTGATATGCAGTCAATTGATGATACATAAAAATCACCACAAGCCTACAGATCAGCACGCTCCTGCAGAGCAGCCTCCCTATGGAGGTTTGAGCCTACATACCCCGCAAGCTGATTTTAAACCCCTTCAAACGCCAAAATGCTTCAGTGTTTCATTGTACAACATGCTTCACCGTGAGAGCTAAGCACGAGGAGAAAGCCACACGTAATTCACCTAGCCCTGCTGAAGCGATTCACAGACATTTACGTTACAGCCGCCGCGCAACTCAAGTCCCTGCCCCTCCGTCAGCGGAGCGCGCCCGGCTGCGCGCCCCCCCGCCCCCCCCGAGGCCGGGGCCGCGGGGCGCCGCGCTCCGCCCCGGCTTCTCTCCTCAGCGCCCGGCCGGGGGCGGGGGGGGGGCGAGACCCGGCACCCCGCTGCCCGGGGGCAGCACCCCTGCCGCCTCTGGCCGCGGCGTGAAGGGGCGAGGGCAGGAGAGCGGGGGGGCAGGTGAGGGCCCCGCGGCCGGTCCGTGCGCGATTGGGGGCCGGCGCGCCGGCGGCTGCCGACGTCGCGGAGGTGCGAGGCAGGGTATGAGCTGCGCGGAGGGAGGGAAGGAAGAGAAGAGAAGAGAAGCAGAATCTCCCGGGCAAATCCCGGTGAGCAGCGGCGGCGGCTCAGGCGCACCCTGACACCGGAGGGTGAGGCCGGGCCCCGGGGCGCCCTGCCCGCCGCGCGCACCGCCGCCTCAGGCACTTCGCTCGCAGCGCCGCCCCGCAGAAAGGACGGACTACAGCTCCCAGCGTGCCCTGCGGGCCCGCCTCTTGCGCACACGCCCCCGGCGTGCCTTGTCCCCGGTTCTGCACGGCCGCGGATCCCGGCGCGCATGCGGGCTCGGCCGCGCGGTGAGCGGGTGCGCTTGAAGGGGAGGGAACGGTGTGGCGGTGGGCTCGCCCGGCCGCCGGGGTGGGGGGCTCGCCGGGCCGGGCCGCGCCGCGGGGAGGCTGAGGCTGAGGCTGAGGCTGTGGGCGGTGAGCGGGGTGCCTCAGGCCC